CGTCAAGAGAGTAAAAGGTCCGGTGGCTGCCCGTGAAGACTCACGTCCAGCATGATGATGATGTTCACTGTGTTCTTCAGCAAGCCTATTCATTGTTTTTGAAAATTGTATTATTCTTTATATTAGAGAGAGAGAGTCAGAGAGAGAGAGAGAGAGAGAGAGAGAGAGAGAGAGAGAGAGAGAGGAGCCATTGCGTCGAACTGCCACCATCCATCGCACATCTGGATTTGCCTTCTGCTCCAGCGTGGTTCCTTACCTCCAAAGGGACTTCAGCTAGCTCACACCTCCACAGTAAGACTGTTCCACACCGCAAACTAATTCAGGACGCAAATTCGAACTGAACAAACTTGGTCCATTTTAAACCAAGGAGCTTAAGCTGCAGCAATTTTTTTTTGGCTATTCATACAGCTATTGTTTATATTCGTGTTGCCACGGTTTGTACCTGTTATTATTGATTTTTTAATAATAACAACTTCACAAAAATCATTCTGTTGTCTTGTGTGCTATTGTGCAAAATAGGACTTTCTCCATCAGCCGTCAAAGAAATAACAGAGCCAAAGTTATTTATTGTGTCTTCAATTTAATTTCTTTTGGTGAGAACGAACGCGGGACGCTGCCTAATTAACCGGTAGTGATCCTAGACCCTGAAGAACTATTTTCTAATAGCTTGCTACCTATGGTTAATTATACTGGGTTACATACATGTGAAAGTAATGGTAGTTAGGATATCTTCTTTAGAATAAGCATTGAGGGTTTCTGTACAAAGAATATTATATTAAACAGTATATATTAGACACTCTGATGTATGGCAGCAATAGGCCGAAGTATATATGCTGCTTGAAATACCTGCCAAAGTGGCTTCAAATGAAGGACACATGGGTGTATGGCTGTCCAGGAAGACTTTTAGGTAACACTTTATTTGAAGGGTGTGTACATGACACATTCATAATATCCTACATAAACACTTCATAACATGTTCATGAATGGTTAAATCAACATTCATAAACTATACATGTTTTCCATGATATTGATATAGACTACAATGTCATTTCAGCAAGAGACATTTTTTTCAGAATAAAAGTCCTACGTTTTTATTTTGAACAACTTTCAAAATAGTGAAACACTTCATTTCTAGAGAGCCAAAATAAAAATGACCTTGCTTTGCCTCTTTGGACCGAAAGAGTTTTGACACTTTCTGCCTAGACTTTCAACTTATTTTTAATTATTTGTTTGTTCTTGAGCATTTGTATTTTGCACTATGATATTCTTTCTCCTGTTCACTCTGTTTTCTTTGTGCCTGAGTCTTAATTCAACAGTCTATACACTGCTACATTATTTATCCTAAGTTTAACTCTTTTAGGATTAAAGGCTAACACTATTATCCCAATTACTTTAGAGGTACTGGAGAAGGCACAAGTATAATTCTGCATTGTTTATCCTGTTTAATTGACACTCTGAGTTTAAATGTTATATGCACTGTTATCCCAAAGAAAGATTAAATTTTTTGTTTGTTTGTTTGTTTGTTTGTTTATTTAATTTGCGTTGCTTCAAAGTCAAAAATCAAGTTACGGCTGCCATTCATCCAGTGACAGGTAACTCTTTGACTTTCCTCACTCAGGGTGCTGATAATTTTGTAAGAAATGTGCTTTATAAGTTTGTCTTGCTTTGCCTTCACCTCAAAAGTGATGAAAGCTTTGTTAACCTGACTTTTTATGTAGATCTTTGAATTGCAGTTAAAGACATTACAGTCTAGTTACATTAACATGGTTGTCAAGCATTTACAGGGAATGGATGAGTGTAAGGTTTCAAGCAGAGTCAGACGCTCGCAGATGTAACTTACAGAAAGGGCTTTACTGATAGGAACAAGGTTCAAAGTCGTCGTCAAAAACCAGGCAGTGTTCGGATCCAGAAGGCACAAGAAATACACACAGACATACATCAGACAATGCATCAAATCCAAGAAGAGAAAGGCAGAAGCGTGGTCGAAGGTGCAGGCAATTGGTCAAAATCCAAGATCAGAATCAGTGCAAACAAATCCAAAGGGCAGAGTAAAAAGGGCAGAGTCGAGAAAACGAAAGGCAAAAATCATACACGGAATACACAACAAAAGAAAACCACTCAGTAGATCACAATAGTGGATACAATACCTTGCAACTTTACTAAGCTAAAGCCCGGGCTTATATACTAAACTAACTGTGTCATATGACAACTAACACAGGTCATTCACATCAATACTCCGGAGATCTAGAGCGCTGATAGGAGCGCGGAGTCATGTGAGAAGTCATGTGATTCCTTAGAGGTTCTTGGGAAATTGAGTCCGTCTCAGTGTTATTGCCTACGGGAAGCTCGGAAGTCATGTGATCTCCCAGAGGATTCTGGGAGATTGAGTCCGAATCCACAAGGGAGTTTGGTGGATGCGTGACAATGAGTATAATGGCCTGGTAAAATTGTCCTGTCCCACCAACACACTGTTTGAGACTTCAAGTCAAATGACTGTTCATATTTGAGTAATTTACTGCCCATAAAATGATATGCAAAGCAACGTTTCTAAGTGATTCATACTATTTTAAGAGGTGTTTTTACACCATGTGTATAAACAGTGATAAAGGGATTTACAATTAAAGGCATAATTATTTACCTTACCTTTCTTCCCTACCTGTGTTTCATTAAATCAGGAAACTACAAACTCTTAGCTTCTGAACATGGAACTGCAAAATACAAATGTATTCACTAAAATCTTCATTTCCTTTCTAAAGCGAAAATAATGTGTTAACTCACTGCCTTGTTACTCCTGAGTAACTTTCACTAATTTATACTTGCATCAATATAAATTTTTACTTTCAAACTGAAGACGTGTCCCAGAAAGCATGCGGATGTGGGCCACTTCTGGCAGAGATATGGCACTGCTGGCCCATGGTCGGCACTGGAACTGGATTCTTAGTTTTGATGTATGGTGCAAAGAGAACCTGTTCTAGAATCTTTTTACGTGACACTGAGGAAAAAAGTTCTCCATAGTTTCACATCTCATTTAGATAAATGGAACATTATAGAAATATTGATAGAAAGGTTCCTAATACACCAAGAGTGATTCTTCTAGATCAGTGCTTCTGAATCCTGGAATCTTGCATTTTGCAGTGTTTTCCGTGCTAAAACACTAAGCAGTAGATGCATCTAGTGTTTTGAGAGTGGGGACAACTTAAAATGTGTAGGTCAGTGGAACTCCAGGGCCAGTGTTAGTCTTGTAAATGGAATAACTGATGACAAAGCTTGTTGATGAAGAGTTGTTTGTTTTTGTTTTTTTTTATTTTGTGACAAAAAAAAAATGTCAATGAGAAAACACAAAACTGCTCATTGACAACATTAAAGTGATTTTAATTTGCACTTACTGATGATGAAAATATGACAAAACAAAAGTAAGATCATAAAGGATAATCACAGTATCTGTTTTTTTTTTTATTTAAGTTGTGTTAGATCAAATATATTAAAAACTCACATGGCATTAAAGTAGGTAATGCATGCTTTTCACTGTCAGAAAGCTGAATGCAAGCCACAGACTTAGCTTTATTTCACAACAGTTGCTACCGCCTTTACAGCAGGCTGAAAATAGTCCTGTACAGTTACACTGGCTCTGCTTTAACATCACCTCCAAAGAGAGTTTCCTGTAAGTCCTCACAAAGTGGTAAAACACGCTGGTAAAACCTTATTAATGAGCAAATGTGTTGCCACTAAGCCTTCAAGTACTTGTTATTTATAAATTAATTAAGTGTTCATTAAGCATTAGTTATTATTTAGTTACTGATTAAGCACTTAGTAAATTAGTAATTAAGCACACAGTTAACTGATAGTTACACACATATGGAATTTCTAAAATAACGTGTGTTAAAGTAGCATCTCATTCTCTTCATTTTGGGGTTATACATGTTAGGCCTAAAACACAGGCTGCTTATTCAAAGACATGTTGACAACAACAGAATGAAATACTGATAGTATGTGCATATTTGTCACACTATCATCTTATTATCTTAAAGGTGCCAAAAGAGTTCTATTTGGAGCAACACCATGGAAAACACACTCCTGGCTCCCTAAACAACCTGTCATTGGTTGAGATGTGCAAGGGTGTAGTTTTGACAAAAAAAACTAACTTCTTTATTTCTGTTGGTTTGTGTAGAATCTTTTGGAATAAATGTTAATATGATATGTGTTTACTTTCCTCTTTACTTGAAAGAAAAAAGAAAAAGACATTAAGGTATCAGTAACGAGGTGAGTCAAGTGTTATCCATATACCTAATGAATATTTAATTACTCATTAGGATATATCAGCATATATCTTTATCAATTGACTTGCAAACCTTAATGTAAAGTGTTACCACTTCAATTATGAGAAATAAATGCATTTTGTTTTGCTTATTGTTGGAAAAATAACTTGAAAAGAAACAAAAAGTTTCTTTTAGAATCAATCCACCTCCGTAAGAATACTTTTACTGAGATGTAAGGATTGTTTACATTTGTTTATTTGTAAATATTGGTAAATATTTCATGTTAATGATTGATATAACTAAATTGATATATCAATTTAATACTTAAGACAAATATGGACAATTTCATATACTATAATCTCAACTAAATTGGTACTACTTTTTGTCAACGTAAATAATTTTCTATGTTAGTCAGACTAAACCAGACTACAATTAATCAATATGATATAATAGGTTAAACTTTAAAAGTCTATTTTACATCAAAAGACAACATTGACTAAATTAAGAGACATGAAAAATAAACACTGTCCAGGACTAGGATTGAGAACCTCTTTCCTATGGCATCTCTCCAAAGAAGTAATTTTGGAACCTTTATGTTTAAAAGTTCATGGTGAGTTCCTACTGCAAATGATATACTGTTGCTTATTCTTAAAAAATAAGACCCCATACCCAGTTCATAGCTGCACCAATGCCTCTACCTGAACTGGCATTCTGAGCTTCTGCATCTGCATCTTGTGCTTCTGTAAACTTTCTATCAAGCTTGTAACAGGATTCTTTCTCAGCTTCTTTTTTTGCTGCTAGTTCAGTCTCTTTATGCAGTTTCTCCATTTGTAGCTCGGGCATCTCTCTGATGTAAGCCAGTTGTTTTTGATGTAGTTCTTCTCTTGCCTAATTTTATCTCTGAATTCTCATTTGCATTTGCTTTATTTTTTCATTTGCTTCATTCTCTGTTCTTTTCTTCTCTTCTTCCTCTTTCTGTTTCTTCTTCTTCCACGGCTCTTCTCTCCAGCTGTGTTTTTCTCTCATCTTCATATTGTTGCTGTATCTGATTTTTCTGAAATATCCACTTATTTTCCAGAGACTTCCTTTTTTCTCTCCTCTTATCCTCCTCCTGCTTCCTCTTCTCCCACTCTCTGCGGAGTTAACTGCAGATCTACTTGCTCCTTCCTTTTATTTTCCTCTGCGTGTTTGATTTTCTCCTTTTTGTCTCTTCTCCTCCTCTGCTATCTTCTGTTCATACTCCTGTAATTTCTTTTGGTGACCTCTCTGTTTCTGTATTGTTTCTTTCTTTTCTTTCTCAATCTTCTCCATTTCCTCTTGCTGTTTCTTCTTCCATTCTTCTTCTTTCGTTCTTCTTTCCTCCTCCTCCTGCTCTCTCTGTCTCTGATCTTCCTCTCTGTCTCTCCCTTAATCGTTCTCTCTGCAAACTCTTTTTTGATCTGCTTTACTTTTTCTTTAAATTCCTCCTCTCTTATTTTCCTTTCTATCTCTTGTTTTTGTTGTTCCTCTTCAATTGCCATCTTCATTTTCCCCATTTCAGCTTCAAGTTTCTTTTTCAGTTCTTCTTTCTCTCTCTCTGTCTCCTCATTTCTCTCCTTCAGAATTCTCTCCTGTTCTTCCTATAGAGCTTTCTCTACCTGCTGGAACATCTCATTAGTGTAGCAGCTCCCTCCATTCACTGTCACCATGGCGTCAATCTTCTCCAGTAGAGCAGAGACCTGAGTGTGGTCTTCAGTATTTAATGTCAACAACATACAACAACATTAAGAAAGATGACCCAATGGGCTTCATCTAGCGACATCTGGTATGGCGGCCAATTAGCTAATTGAGAGATTTGAGGAAAAACAAGCTCACAATTCTACTCTGGAGCTATGACGGGTAACAGTAGGACTTCCACTTTTGTTATGCTAACAAAGCAATATAGGTTTATGGGTTTGTGTGTTTTTGGTGTGTTTTATTCAAATAATAACAAATAATTTGTGTATTTCAGAGGGTCATAACTTCATTGCTGTGTGCAGCCTAAATCTGTGGTACAATGAGAAACACATGCTGACAGGCCAACAAAGTCTCCACCCCCCCCTCAGGGAATGATCAGGGCCATAGTAGATACATAGTGTTTACAAATGACCATATAAAAATCATGTTTGTCTTGCATGTGCATAATTAGTTTGACAAAGATTGTTTTCCCAAACCATTTGCAATATTTTACTTAGCTGTCCAGATCACTATTTATTTTTAAGAGGTGATAAGAGTATACTTTTAAGGTGCAGTACTTATTTAATAGATAACATGTAGTACCTGGTGTATATATTTATAACTTACAAAATAGTGCAAAGTACTATAAACTGCTTCAGTAAATACATGCATATGTGATAGAGAAGTACAGAATAAGATAGAGTAATTACCTTTATTCAAGAATTGAAATGAACTGTAACCTAGCACATAGTAGGTATACAGTAAATACTTCTGCTCTTTTTGTTAACGTATGCAAAAACTTAACTAGACACATCTCTAGGTACATCCTGGTAAGTTCTGTAAAATAGTGTAACCTTGTGTGTAACTTGTTTTCTTGTCTGCACAACTGTCTGTATAACTGTACATAGTGTCATGGATTTGCTTTTAGGTTAAACCACAGATAAATGGAAAAGTTTAGTGCCTTATTGTAGTGAGACATGAAATACTGAATTGGAAAAGGCAAAATCAGCACAGAAGTAAGGCAAAAATGGAAATGCACTGTACTAAAGTGGTGACCTTCAATACACAGCTGACAAGATTTAAGACATGTGTTACCCACAAACAAAATAAACAAATTCCCCAAAAAAGTTAACCAAAATACCATCCCCTCCAAAAAAAAACAAAAAAGTAGCTTCCCCACCTCCCATGACTACAAACACACCTACAGCAACAGTCATTTCCAGAAATACAATAATCGCTATACAGATTATCTGTAAAGCATGGAATAACCCAAAAGAGTAAAGGCAAATAGTAAAGTAGACAGAGCTCAGGGAAACACTTTACTCTAGGTTGCTGTTTATAAGGCTACATGACACCTACATTTGCTTGTAATGAGAACTGATATAACCCACATAAATGTTTATAAATGCTTACTCCAATAGGCCTTATCTGTAATAAAGATTACATCTGCAAATTTTGATCAAAGTTAAGTAAAGTAACCTTTATAACAGATGACACCTACAGAAATAAGCATTCTTAAGTACAAAACATTTCTATTTTGCCAATGCATTGTTCTTGTTTTTCCTTGCTCATTCATCTCACATCACAATACAGACACAACTTACCATTTACCATTATGTTGTGGCTTATCCTAGATCAGGTATGGTTATGAAACCACTGTAAACATGCCAGTGTGGGCCCACTGAGCACTATCGGTAGGCTGTGCAGGCTAGGGCTAGCCAGCAGATAACCCTTTATTGGGACACTGTAGGTCAGCCCACAGTTGGCCCACATCCCTGAACCCACAGTGGGAACATAAGGATTTCTGTTTGGACAGTACTCTGCTGAGCTAGCCCACAGATAACCTGATACAGGCCCGTGTGTTTCATTGTATTATTTGTAAGTGCTACATATTTACTACTAAATTCTGTGCTGTACATACCTGAAACATACAATGTAATGTAATAGAAAATTACTTGTAAGTACAAACCCAATTTCAAAATAGTTAGGACAAAGGTAAAATGAAAATAAAAACAGAAAAATGATTCTTAAACTGTCTCAACAACACAAAGATATGCAATATTTTACCTTATCAACTTTATTGATTTTTGTAAATATATGCGAATTACAAATTTGATGCCTGTATCAGGTAATGTGTACCTCACACTCACCTGGTTAGGACCTAGAACTTCAGGGGCTATAAAAAAGTGTTTTTTCCTTCTGACATAGCTGTCATGTCAACTTGACATCAAAGCTGACAAATATAACTTTTATGGCAAATGATGACTTGTGGAATAAGTGTCTATACATGTTTATGAAGGTCTATGTCATTTGAAGAACTCTGTCATTAAGGGCTTATGTGGGTGTCATATAGCCTTATGAACACTGCCCTATAGTAAAGTGTTATAAAATATTCTTACACATTTTGACTGACATATGTAAACTATAAATTGTTATTAGGCTAAGTATAAACTGTAAAGCATTCAGTTGTACATGGATTCTTCAAGTATAAATGAAGTTTCTTTTCAATTTCTTGAAAATACATTGTGTAAAGAGTTCACTCTCTGATGACTTTCCATAAACTTTCCATAACTTTCCATGATACTGTCTCAGCCTTGCACACATTTAATGGACAACATTAGTAGGCAAAAAAAAAACATCTAAGGGATACACTGCAGAGGACAAAATAATAAAGTTCACATTGTGCACATAAACCCAATGTGGTCTAATTAGAGGATCTATTAAACAATCAAACCACCCACCTTCTGACTGCCTCTCCTGTTTTAACTCCTTGATTATCTTCTCCTCTAGTTCATGTCGGATTCTCTCCTCTTGAGCTTTCATATACGTGTGGAGAGAATAATGCTTGGGTTCAGTTGGTCTTTTAATTTCCTCCAACAGCTCTGAAACTTGTTTGGGGTTTCCGCCCATTTTTGTTTCCACTATTATAGATCTTTGTCCACAACTGACAAGATTCTTTGTTTCTGGGTTTTGTTCTGTAACATTTTCCATGGTGAACAGAACTACTAAATAATCATTGACTTCGGAGCTGAATATTCTCTGGATCTTCTCTATTTCTGCTTTGTCGTCATCAGTGAGGCGTCCCCCAGAAACAATGAGAAGAAAAGCATGAACTCCAGGAACACAGAGAGAGACACAGCGGTGAGTCTCCTGCATCACTTCCTCCTCTGAGAGCTGAGTGTTGTAGAGGGCTGGCATCTCCACCAGAGTGATCAGACGTCCACACACTTCTCCCACCCTCATCACACACACTGAGCTGGACTCTGGACTGAGCTCTCTTTGACCCAGTATGAGATCTGATAAGGAAGACTTCACTGCTCTGTTATGCACACAGCACCAAGTTCAGCCTCTCAGTCACTGAAAGAGAAACCAACTGGCATGATGGGTCAGGTTTAGAGGCAGAGAAATGCGTACCAATGAAATAAACTAAAATTAAAGCATAGGCAAAAATATAAATTTTATTATTTTTTTTCTGCTAAGTATGGGATATTAATATTAGTGATCATTGCAGAATTATAAGGTTTTACAACCCCATTTCCAAGAAAGTTGGGACGCTGTGCAGAATGTAATAGAATGCAATTAAATGCAAATCATGAAAACCATATTTTTAAAGGAAAATACTACAAAAACAACATATCAAATGATGAAATTGGGACATTTTATTGTTTTTTGAAAAATGTATGCCCATTTTGAATTTGATGCTAGGCAGGCCAGTTTAACACCCGGACTCTTTTAATACGAAGCCATGCTGTTGTAATACATGCAGAATGTGGTTTGGCACTGTCTCACTGAAATAATCAAGGCCTTCCTTGAAAAAGACATCGTCTGGATGGCAGCATATGTTGCCAAAATCATTCAGCATTAATGGTGCCTTCACAGATGTACACGTCACCCATGCCATGCACACTAATGCACCCCTATACCATCATGAATACTGGCACACTAACTGTGCACTGATGACAAGCTGAGTGGTCTTTAGCCCAGAGGACACAGTGGTAATGATTTAAAAAAAAAAACATTCACCACAGGACACTTTTCCACTTCCCCTCAGTCCATTTTAAGTAAGCTCAGGCCCAGAAAAGGCGGCATTATTGGTTGGATCCTGTTTATGTATGGTTTCTTCTTTGTGTTTTAGAGTTTTAACTTGCATCTGTGGATGCAGCAACGAACTGTGTTCAAAGACAGTGGTTTTCAGAAGTGTTCCTGAGCGCATGCAGTGATTTCCACTACAGAATGATGTCTGTTTTTAATGCAGTGCTGACTGAGGGCCCAAAGATCATGGCCAATACTGTTTTTTGGCCTTGTCCCTTGCATGGCCAATACTGTTTTTTGGCCTTGTCCCTTGCATACAGAGATTTCTCCTGATTCTCTGAATCTTTTAATGTTATTATGTGCCATCCATCCATCATCTAAACCACTTATCCTTCTGGGTCATGGTGGGGTCCTGTCAGCTGTCATTGGGCGGAAGACAGGATACACCCTGGACAGGTCGCCAGTCCATCGCAGGGCAGACAGACAGACATACACATTCACACCTAGGGGCAATTTTAGCATGTCCAGCTGGCCTGATTGCATGTTTTTGGACTGTGGGAGGAAACCCATGCAGACACGGGGAGAACATGCAAACTCCACACAGAAACGACCCTGGTCACCCGGCCGGGAATCAAACCCAGGCCCTTCTCGCTGTGAGGCGACAGCGCTACCCACTGCGCCACCGTGCCGCCTTATTATGTACCATAGATGATGAAAAGCAAAACTTCTTTGCTATTTTAC